AGACGGCGGAGAAGCAATCTAAGAAAGAGTCGGCGATAATGGCTCCGAGGACTGGGAATAAATTCAGAGTTCCATTGACGACATTGGCAATCTGAGCGGCGTTAATGTTCTTCACGTTGAACTCCTTAATAAGATACACAATTAAGTTGCTCGACCACCCGCCGCCCGCCAGATTCATTCCTACCGTCGTGCCTGTCACATCAAATCCATCACAAATATCATTAATTATTACATGAATGCAATGATCCATATCACAATTATAATAGATGTGGGGTAACTCTAGCTAAGTTGATCAACAATTAAATTGGTACTACAATGTTACAAGATTATCGCCCGGTAAAAGTGGCCTATTGATTTTAGCCATTTAGAAGTTTTCCTCTTTACTATATATATGTATATATACACGTTTACGTTCAAGTGAGGAAAGTGAGAACTACTACATGAATGCACACAATGCACAAAATTAACCATGAAGCAGATTATGTGCATTCGTATAATAGATTGTGTGTATTCATGTACACAACTATATATATATATATATATATGGTGATGTTCCAATGAACATCCCTCATCCAGTAAGAACTGCAAACTTGTATATAAATGCACATAAGCGTCTACATAGACGCATACAATCAGATATTTCAGTGCACAAAATGCACACAATTTTCCATGAAATAGTTTGTGTGAATTATATTTATGTTGACAATTGTGTGCATTCATGTTAGTTAGTAGGTTGTCACAGAAGAAGTGGTTCTCATTTGATTATATATATATATATATATATATATAGTCAGATTCTTGTGCGGCCATGCGATCACGCACCATTATGTATGGATAAATGTAAGTGTTCAAAAATGCATCATTAAGTGTGGTGCATTATTTTTTGGTGTGTGGTGGCATTTGTGCATTTCATTCTGGTGCATTTTCGAACAGTGTATGGTGGATGCATATCTAATGGTACAATTCGCACCTATCAATACACACAATATATATATTAGGGTTGGGGTTCAGCCTTTTGGAAGATTATTTATATATATATATATATATATATATATATATATATATATATATATATATATATATATATATATATATATATATATATATATGTATGTATGTATATGCAGCGTACATTCAGTGCACGTATACTATATCTAACAATGTGTGTATATATGCTGATATGCATGGAAAATATGGAAGCAGGTAGAGGGAGAAGGGAGAGACCGATTATGAAGGGGAAAGTAATCCAGCCACCTCGTCGCCGCCGGCCATTCGACGACGGTTGTTGTACCTGCGAAACTTCCATATATCAGACGACACACCTACCCACTGCAGACTAAAACAAAACAAAATTGCTACGAATTGAAAGAACTGATGATCGATGATGATGTTACTTATATACAAGACAATGAGAATATATATATAAAAAATGTAATTAAGAGAGGGTGCGGGCGTGTTTGAGACAGTTGAGTGAAGTGTTGCCAAAGACTTAATGGGCTGACAAAATTGTTAATGATGGAGAGATCAGATGCCCACCATCAATGGAGGGCGTTTCACGTTTGGTCATATATATTATATAATATAGCCACTGGGGTCATATTCTCGGAACGTGATTTTTTTTTTTTTAGAAATTTATTTATTATATGTTTAATATGTCTGAAAAAATATATTTAATAAGAGCATAAGATGCATGCCACCTCTGAAAGCTTGCGAATTTGCGATTATATATACACCCATAAGACATATTTAATACTAAATAGTAATGTTCTTTGAGGAAAAGCAAAAGTTGTGGTAGTTGTTGGGGGTGTCGTCAAACATAAGTTTCCCAACAGTATCAACCATGGCTGGGTATAGTAGACCACTAGGCCAAAGTTGGTGTTATATATATAAAATAAAATTTGGGACAATTCTAATCTGGTTAGTTATAATATTGATAAAAGTTACTATTAGTGATATTGATAAACGTTATTATTAGTGATTTTTTTGCCAATTATAATAACAAGACAGGATTTATCCAACACACTGTACGTAAAAAGAAAATTTTGTGGTGTGAATCTAACTCGATAAATATGTTAATTATTTGGATTATTGTGTATTTGTGTCTAAAGCAAATTGATAAGTTATTATCAATTGACATCTTAGAATTTGTCCATGTGGTTGGTAATGTGGATTTTCCAATTATATATGTTCTATGGTACGTGCGTTAATGCATGCTAGCTCAGTAGGTCTTCATTGCTGGAAATCTAAAATGTGGCACGTTAGGTTTATGTAAATGATACATTATATTTGTGAATGCACGCTACTATATATGAAATAGAGTGATCAGTTAGCTTTGAAATGATTACAAGTGAGAGTGTTCAACAATGCATTATTGCACTCCACACTACTAGCTTCTGTACCATACACTTGTGATCTTGCATTTAACTCAACTTAAATATGGGAAATTTTTCTATTTATTATAAATTTCGTAAGTATACTTGGAGAGTTTTAGAGTATTTAGTATTTGTAAAAATACACTTGAGTACACTGTTATATATATATATATATATATATATATATATATAACTTTTTGTATAATTTATATTTACAATCACATAGGAGAGTGTCCAAATTAAATTATTATATAGAACCTAAAATATTAGTTAATTGTAAAAATGTATTTGATAAATTAGTTGTTTATTTCTAACTGATTGGATGTAAAATGACATATAATCTCCATAGAATCTTGTTTCACCCATCTGCTGCAATATCTCCATTGCCCCTCACTGTTGCTCGACTCAAGAACCTAACTTTAACTTATTTTTGAATATATATAATCATTCAACTAAGTTGCTAGGTTATGGTTTTCATGCCTCTTCAATTCCGACCCTTTATAAGGTTGTATCTATCTGTTCTATATTTCTATCATGTGACTATTAATTTGCAATGATAATAGATATGTCATCACACTACATAATAGTTAGCATGTGAATGATGTTAATTAATATAAAGACAAAATTTTAATTTGCAATTCTAAACTAATCAAAACTGTAAAACTACCATTTGAAGAAAAGAGTGACCAAAATTGTCACTTTATTGTGAAAAATTGAAATGTCTATAATATTCATGTTAAAATTAGTGATATTATTATTGTTTGAGTTATTATTATTATTATTATTATTATTATTATTATTATTATTATTATTATTATTATTATTATTATTATTGTTATAGCTTTACGTTAATAAGTTAGTCTCATCTGGCTAACCTAATATCTAGGAGATCTTTATATTTTCCTCTCTATCTTGTACTCCGTAACAGATTAGTTTTCCCATCTCTCATCTGGTATCAGAGCCTGATTGGTTGCCAAAGGATTCAATCAGGTAGCTGGTGAAGATTCTTTGACATCTTCAGTCTAGTTGTCAAACCAACCACGGTTCACTTGTTATTTTGCTTTGATGTGTCCAACAAGTGGGTTTTACGTCAACCGCCTATGTCAGTTCATGCATTCTCCGACTACTGATCATTGGGGTATGCTTAAACGGGTCCTGCGTTACATCAAAGGCACTCTTGGCTACAGGTTGGGCGGGTTGCCCTCTAGACAGGAAGAGCACCAGTGGGTTCGCGGTGTACTTGGGTTTGAATCTAATTTCATGGCTATCCAGAAAACAGCGCATTGTGGCAATCATCAACTGAAGCAGAGTATAAAGCCCTGGCTGATGTCTCCGCTGAGGTCACATGGGTTGTCTCGTTACTACGCGAGTTAGGGCTCCACACAGGTGAACCGGCGACTTCATGGTGTGATAATCTTGGCGCCACATATCTCTGCGCCAATCCGGTTTTTCATGCACAGACGAAGCACGTTGAGATTGATTTTCACTTTGTTCGTGACAATGTAGCATCCAGAGAGTTTGTTGTCAATTTTGTATCCACTAAGGACCAGATTGCAAATATCTTCACCAAATCGCTCCCAGGGCCGAAGTTTACCGCACTGCGGGACAAGCTCAATGTGGTTCTGTACCAACCTTGCGCTTGAGGGGGGTATTACTAATATTATTATTGTTTGAGTTATTATTGTTATAGCTTTACGTTAATAAGTTAGCCTCATCATGTGGCTAACTTAATATCTAGGAGATCTTTATGCTTTCCTCTCTATATGTGCTCTGTAACATTTAAGGATACTTTCATAAGTTATGAGCTTTTGATTTTTTTTCCACTTTTATCCTTGTTATTTTACAATTTCACTTTTCACTTTTCAACTAGCTAGTTGGGTCAAACCTAATTTATCATTACCAATTATTAACATGGTAAAATCGATAAAATTGATGTGAGTTTTTAAATTTTTAAAAGGAGTTCTACTACATAGATTCTCAAATCATACTCCTTGATGTGGCGGGTACTGATATGCTACTTTTTTCATGTGAGTCTCAATACAAGTGTATACATCAAGATTTTGTGTGTATAACTGTATAAATAAAAATTGAGAGTAAAAAAATGAAAGTACATGTAATATTTTCCTTTATAAAGGGATTATAAATATTGCAAGGGTTGGAATTAATTACTCGAAAATTGATGTGACTTTGGCCCGTCACACTCCCCGGTGGGATTTGTAATAATTTGTAACATTTACACCTATTATATTATAAATGGATTTTAAAAATGATGAATCAAGGTTGCAAAAATCGCGTCTAAGCACTGATTAATCGGCGGCGGATGGTCGCCTAGAAATTTGGCAGAATCGTTGTTCTAGGTGGCCTAGGCGCCGAGTAGGTCGCTATGGACTAGGCGGGAGTTTAACTAATTTTTTTAATTAAATTTAAAAAAAAAGAAAAAAAAAAAAAAAGGCACCGGAGAGGCATTTTTTCAACCTTGGAATGGATAAAGCATGAAACTTGACACACACATCATCTTCTTAAAATATATATATATATATATATATATATATATATATATATATATATATATATATATATATATATATATAAAGGGAAGAAAAAATATATATATTGCAAAAACTTGTGTGTTTTACATTCAGGAAATGGGAACACACATTATATCTATCAGTCTAGTGTAATTTGTCATCATCATTTTTGGGCTTTTCACAATTTTGATACTTATAATAGTTGGCACAAGCCAAAAAATAACCATAATTGAGTAATCCTAAGGCAAACAAAACCCAATACACATAATCTAACCTCCCTTTGTCGATGTCATTATTGGGCAACCATGATGTCACGTTCCGAATAAGCTCAATTATGAGGGACGCCACGTACAGCGCAATGGCGATGAGCACAGCGCTCAAGGCGGTGGCCATGTTCTTCAGGTTCGCCGGAAATTCTTGGTAGTAAAACTGAGCCGTCACCGGGTAATGGAACGCCTCTCCGACGCCGATGAATAAGAGCGGCGGGATGAGCCAGAGTACGGAGATAGGCTCCGAGTTGGCGGCGGCGATTCGTCTCTTGTACTCCACCACGGCGGACACCGCCATGCCGACCAGGGTGATGACGTGGCCGACCCCGATTTTCTGCAGCGCGGTTGGGCGTTTTCCGGCGAGTTTTTTCCACGCCGGATACACTAATCTGTCGATCACGGCGATGAAGACGGTGCAGGAGAATAAAACGACGACGGTCATGGAACCCGGCGGGATTTGGAACTTTTTTCCGAGGTGACGGTCCATAGTCAGGGCTTGGACGACGGTGAGATTAAGTAGCGCTCCGATTGGAACGAGCAAGATAATCCCGGTGGTCCAAACTGGGATCATTTTGATCAGCGATTTCAAATCTTCCACTTGTTGAACCGTGCAAATCCTCCACGGCTTTTCTATCAATCCATCGGCGTCAACATCTCCGTCCATTTTCACCGCCGCACGGTTCAAGAACTTGAAGGCCGAGGAAGGAGGACCACGGTGTTCTTCTTCATTATCTCCGACGAAATACCGACCACCATCAGTTTCGTGGTCGGAGATTTTGAGGTTTCTTTTATGAACGCTGGCGACGAGAACGCGAGCCAAGCCGGTGAAAGGGCTCCCCTTTGGGTTGCCACAAGAGTAGAAGCGGGTGCCGGACAAGAAAGCGATGAGGCCGATGGAATTGGCGACGACACAGATAATGAAGCCGCATTTGAAGCTGACATTATCCTCAATGTAGACGAAAACTGTCTGGGCAATCACGAAAGACATGTACGATGTAATGAAGTACCAGTTGAAGAAAATGCCCTGGTGTTTCTTCTTGCGGAACTGGTTGGCTCCCATGGTGGAGATCGAAGAGCGGAGGCCGCCCAGCCCTACGGTTCCTAGAGATAGAGCTGCATATAGCACTGCAAATTGAAGCTTATTTGGGGTGCACGATGAGCTATCTTCAGGGCATTCTGGAGGTTTCAACGCACTTATTATGGTAGATAAGGTTAAAACAATTGTGCCCTGCATATATATATCAATCTAAGTCTGAGATCATCACTTTATATATTAATGAGAAATCAATGTTCAAATTTCAGCAAGTTATGCTGTAAGAATTATGCCCAAAGTGGACACATCTTTTACTTGTACTGACATTTGACCAGAGTTAATTCCAGCAATGGTCCTCTGACTATATTGATTTTCCAAAATTAGTTCTCGACTTTTAATTTGGACACTTTACGTCCCTTGACTTTCAATTTCTTTCCAATTGAGGTCATTTCGTCAAATTACGATAAAGTGGACTTTAAATGAAAGGGTAAAGTAGTCATTTCATCTGTCTAATGTATAATTCTTCATATTTCTTCCTTGTATACGCGACTTCGGACATTAGATTCACTTAATTGCTTAATCCCTAATTGAATTTTGTTCTTCGAGTGGATTTAGGGATTAAGCAATTAAGTGAATCTGATGTCTGAAGTTGCGCATACAAGGGGGAAATACGAAGAATTATACATTAGGTAGATAAAATGACTACTTTACTCTTTCATTTAAAGTCCAATTTACCTTAATTTGACGAAAGGACCTCAATTGGAAAGAAATTAAAAGTCAAAGGACGTAAAGTGTCTAAATTAAAAGTCGAGGACTAAAGTTGGAAAATCAAGATAGTCGGAGGACCATTGCTGGAATTAACTCCATTTGACCATGCTTGTCCGGTCGTTGAGTCACCATAATTTAATTCTCCCCCAAATGCTTAGCGGGCCCTTGGGGTTGAGGATTCGACATTTGGGTCACCGTGATTTACATCATTCTAAATGTTCGGTCGATCATGGGCGGACCCAGTGTGGGGGCAATGGGGCAGCTGCCCCCACTCCCCCACCCCACCCCACCCCTTTATATATGTATGTGTATATATAGCATAAAATATTATATAAAATCTATATTTATGTTAAAAATATTAATAGTTTGAGTAGTTTAATTGGTTGAACTCTAAATTTTATTACAAAGCTTATGTCATGGGTTCAAATTTCATTAGCAACACTTTTAATTATCTTCTCTCTTTCATTTCTTCACAAGATAAATTAAATATTTTTAGTCTACTTTTTATGAATCATTTAAGTAACAAATTAAATGCTCTTTTAGTCTAGTTTTTATAAATCATTTAATTAATATAGTATACAAGTTTATAATATACTTTATTGTATTCGCATTAATTTAGAAAAATCGATCTAACTAAACGAAATTAAAATTTAAAAGTATTTATGAATATATTGTTATTCAAATTCTTTTATCTAATTGATTATGTTTCATATTTTCTTATAAATATATTGTAATTTATAATGTATTTTGTATTTTAACCTTATTATGGTTGTTTAATATTTTGTCATTGACATTTCTAACGTCATTTAATATTCGCCCCCACTTAGATAATTTTCTAGGTCCGCCACTGGGTCAGGGTGTGGGGCCTTTAGAGTTGGGAATTTAACATTTTAAGAGAAGTTGGTGCAATCCACTAAAGTGAGTTAGGCTGTTTGTTGGGAAAAGGGTGATTGGGGGATTGTTGGGCAAAGGCCTAAACTTAGGTCAGGGATTCGAATTCCGGCTAGCTGGGTGGGGGAATTGTTGGCCAGAGGGGATAAGCGTTTAATCCTATGGTTAGAGGATTGTTATGGGCCAATAGGTAAAATTAGTCTTTTTGGTTTGAGCTCGTTTAATTTATCTGGGGACTCCCGGAAAGTATAGTAGGTAAACGTTAAGGGAAGAATAAGATATATTACATACCAGTAAAGAGGTAAAACCAAAGATCCAGATGACAGTAAAAGAGCTCAAGAAAGAGTCAGCGATGATTGCAGCAAAGACAGGAAAGAGGTTGAAAAAGGCATGGATGAGAGTTGAGATCTGAACCGCATCAATTTTCTGGACGTGGTATGTGTTGATTAAGAACACCATCAGGTTGGTCATCCACCCTGCGCCTCCTAACATCAGCCCTCCTGTGCTTACTGCACATACATTACAATCATACCAACCATTAAATAATAAACCATGCATCAAATAACAAATTAGGGCAACCCCAGTCGAATTGTTAGCTCGGTAACCATTCAACTCCCAGTCCAGTGAGAGCTAGCGGTGAGTAACCCACTGGAAATTATGAAATTTTCGACCACCTAAAAGTAATCTTATATCAAGTTGAAAGTAAAATGTGATCGGAAATAACAACAAAGGTGATTTAAGATCATTTTCAGTGGTCAGAAATTTCATAATTTTCAGCAGTGACCTAAGTTGATTTATCTCTCGACGGGCAACTTAGGTATGGTCATTTGCTGGTTAGGGTACCCTCGGACAGTGGTCGTGTGTTTTCTGGTGACCCAAAAAAAATCTAAAACATACGTACCTAATATGAAGGGAAAGGTGATCCATCCGCCTTTGTGGTTTTCAGCAGTGGGGGACAAGGCGACTTCCCTGTCGTCACACAACTCCTCCACTTTATCGCTCATTCTGATCAATCTTTAGTGAATGATATGCAGGCAGGCAGGCTGGAATTAATGGGGATTGGATAGAAATATTGGGATTGAAGAGTGAAGCCTTCCGATCTTGAGGCGGTTAAAATGGCGATGGGAATGGGAATGGGAAGGGTGATACCACTTCCGATCCTATCCCGTCGCTGCTAGCTCGCCGCAATTACTGTCTGCTAATTCTCTTGTTTTTTGTATTGTATGTATATATTTATATGTTGGACACTGATATTAATTAATGTGTGCATGCCTATTTGGCTATTTTACTTTTCCTTTTCTTACTTTTACTTTTACTTTTCCTTTTCTCTCTTACCCATCAATCAGCTTTTCTCTTACAAGTGGACCTGCTGTATGTATACGTACACATTACTTTGACTTAACAACAACCAACGACGACAATAATAATACTCTGTAATAAATATGTAATTCAGATTAAGATTAGTATGTAGATTATTAGTAGTCAATTAGAAAATAATAATAATAACAAATGAAATGTTGTGTAGTAAATTTTAATTTTGTGTGTAGCTATTTGGGTAATACCAAGAACCGAAGTGCAGAGCATGCTAAGATATGTGAGACTGACCCATTAAAACATTGGTAAATGACGGTTAGCTATTAGCTAATTGGGTTAATTAGACGATATAACTAGTCGATAATATTAGTTGATTGTAAAAAGGTGGTTGGTAAATTAGCTGATAATTATTTGATATAATTTCTTTATTCTCAAAAAGCTAATTGGAAAAATTGTTTTTAATAACTTTTTGAATTTTAGCATTTTGGAGTACAAAAAGTTATTTAACCAAACACTTATATTGATTTTTAAACCAAGTCAAAAATTAATAGTGTGTCAAATAAATCAAAATTAATCTATAAGCTAACTATTTTACCGAACAGAACCATTGTTTTCTTTGCCAATTCCGTAGACTTAAGTAGTTAACCCAATTGTTTGAAATGTTAGGATAGTAGAAAGCAATATAATGCAACGGGAGGGAACTTGCCAAGCTGGTTACACATTTCGCTTGGTAATTATATAATTTTAAGTTCATGAGAATTGTTTATTGGTTTATTTAAGTTTATTTACTTTCTTTTGATCCAAACATTGGGCATAACCTCAACTAAGTTAGTCAAAAAATTATTTTGATAACCTCAAGATTCCAAGTTTAATTTTTCATAAAGGGAATTGTCTATTGATTTTTAAAATTTGATTTACCTCATTGTAGTCTTTCTAGCTAGAGTCACAATGACACAATATTTATAGTGGTACACTCTCTATGTGAGAGTTATATCCACTTGAAGCGATTGTTCCATATTCACAAAAGAATAAACTGAACTAGCCATTATTATTATTATTATATATATAAAAACAACCACCAACCAAAACTCAATTAAAGTTTCATTTTTACATTTGGTAAGCTACCTAATATGAGACAAAATATCCTTTCTCATATAATAAACTGCCTAATATTATACGGAGTATTATAGAATTAGGCTCCCCACTTAACATGAAATGGAAGTGTTGCTAATGTAAGTATGTAACTGCAATGTCAATCTATAAACTTTTATGAGTCACATTAATGTAATTTGGAGAAATTGTGTTGCGTATACAAATTTAACATCAATGAGACTACCCTCAAATTCTTCACTTTTCAAATTTCAACTACTTGGGATGGCCATAAAAATAATAGGATATAGTTTTCTAATAACAATAGGATCGTAAGCCTGCAATTGAGCTATAATGTACATGGACCAAACCACACTAAAAAAGTGAATCCAACCAATTAGCTAGTTAACCCATAATCATTATAAACTGATATATTATCTCTTATGTTATCAATGTGGGACTCTTAACAAAGGGTGAATACAATGTGAAAAACTTGGCATTATTGATAACCTATGACAAATGTTGTCTCAGTTTCATACATTGCTATCTAATGCACAAATACAAGTTATACAACCTCGTATTACATGGAAAGAAAAACAAATTGATAATTTTACATCTGATAACATATTACAAATATTGCACAGGAAAAAAAAAAAAAAAAGAAGCAAGAACACATGTCTATAAGCTGTGTTGTGAACACAGAAGACTGCTATGCTTTAAGAATACAGTTGATAGGGGACTGACCTTACAAGACAAAAAATCCGTCGGCCTTGTCCAAGAAAAAGGGGTTGTGAAAGCGATGAATCCATAGATAATTGTATGAAAATCCAGGAGGATATTTATAGGTTTCCTGCATTTGCGTATTCTGGATTCATTGCCAATGCCTCCTGATAAATCATGTCTTTTATTTGCTCTTCGCTCAGTGCTTGTAGCTCAAAATCAAAGGAGAACGGGACCGAGCAGACTGGTTCATCAGCTTCGTCGTGCAATTTAGCAAGGTAAGGATGAGCTAATGCCTCTTCAACTGCACAGGAAAACAAAGGAAAAAAAAAAAAAAAAAGTGAGCTTTAAAATACTGGAGCAATGATAGTTCTTGAGCTTTCATACATAGAAATGTTAATCACTTGAGGCCTTGAGGGTAGACAATTTTAGTGCAGCAAATTGAAGAATCCTAGTTCTACAATATATAACGTTCGGAGTTTAATGAACTGCTGCAGTTTGATCTAACTATTAATGCTGATCTATAGCCAGATACAACGCCCTCAAGGGCACTAGCTAAGAAACTTGAAACTGATGGAAATTTTCAGTTTGTTCAAATCGAGTAAATGTTTCTTACTCCATATTCAGTTAAATATAAATACAAGATAAAAGATACATGAATTAAGGATGTTCAATGAATCCTAGCAAGTACCAAGTTATCGCATTAATTGAATTCATCTTACCACAATATCTTTAATACTCCATTTTTTTACTAGTGACACAGGGGATCATTGAATCCATTGTAATCCAATTTCAAGTTTCTGACATGAACATTAAACCAGATAAATCAAGATTAAAAATACCTGTAATTCTTTTGGAGGGATCAAATGTCAACATTTTGTCCACAAGATCAATGGCTAAAGGATGCACGTGAGGAAACACTTTTGTTAACTCTTGACGTGGATGTTGTGGAAGTTGCCTAATATACCTCTTCGCATCATCATTACGAACACATCCAAGATCAGATTCAGTTGGTGTGCCAAGAAGCTGACAAGTAAAAAGGCAGATACCAATGAACATTTAGTATAGCTATCAACTTTATCAATTAAAAGAGGTGGGCGACCATGTATGTAGTGGAAAGGTAGATGTTTTAAAGAATCTCACACCGATAATAATAAGAAATATCTTGAAATTTCATAAAATCAATGATGCTTGGACAGGTCCAATAAAAGAAAGTAAGCAATAAGGTATATATTCTGTAATGTCTAGGCATAAAAACATTTCCAAGATAGGAAAACTGCAAGTCTCTATCATGCTAAATGAAATCAAAAATTGAAAATCACAAATGTCATAAAAACATGAAGGAATGAGACGTTACGATACTATTTCTATCTTTGGAATCCAGTCTTACCTCAGTTAATAATCGCATCTGATGCACATGATCTTTTCCAGGAAACAATGGTTTTCTGTTCATAAGCTCCATATAGATGCAACCTACAGACCACACATCTATGGCACCAGTGTAATCAGAAGAATTCAACAAAAGCTCGGGCGCCCTGTACCATCTGGTCACTACATACTCTGTCATGAACTCATTCTCTATGTTTGGGCGAGCAAGACCAAAGTCACAAATTTTAAGATCGCAGTTTGCATTTAGCAACAGGTTGCTCGGCTTCAAGTCCCGATGAATTACATTGGCAGAATGAATGTATTTTAGTCCACGAAGGATCTGATACAAGAAGTACTGCAGGCACAATAACAGAAACAAATTCTCAATTCTGGCTCATATCATAGCACAACAATCACCGAAGAAAAAGAAGAGGGAAGGGATTAATACCTGACAATGCTCCTCTGAAAAATTTTGATTGGAGCGTATTATTTGGTTAAGATCAGTGTCCATGAGCTCCGTGGCAATGTACACATCGGAGAATTCCCTTCTTACAGGTGGAGGAATCACATCTCTTAGAACTGTAACCTGTATAGCAATCTTTGCTTTAGTCCAACAAAGCAGAAATTCTTATTCCAGGCAATCATAGATAACAAAAACCAGAGACTCTTGTTATGCCTGACTTGATTTAATCACTTTTTAACTACTCATAGAACAGCAAATTAGCATTTGGAATCTAGAATTGTTGTGATATATTAAGTAGAAAAAGTAAGAAATTACCAAACACAGAAATATCCAGAAAGGAAAAAAGTGAAAAATTCAAAGCAGAAACTGACATTTTCGTGATCCAAATGGCGGAGGAGCTTAATTTCACGGAGAGTCCGCTTGGCGTCCATGTAATTGTCGAAAGCACTGGTAATCTTCTTGATCGCAACCATCTCCTCCGTCTCCGCGTTAAAAACCGAGCTTCAAATACATATACCACACCATAAACATCAAATTCGCACAATTTTAAGGCGGCGATGAAATAATAGGAAGAACAAGTAGAGCTAAATAAATATATACCAGACGATTCCGTAGGCGCCGCGACCGATGGGCATAATCGGAGAGCGATACTTGGTGGTGATCTCGAAGAGGTTTCCAAATATGTTGTACTGTATGTAGCGGCCTCCGTGGGTGGAGACTGCGGGGAACTCCGGGAACTCCCCGCCGGCGCCCATGTTGACATCAGCCATCTAATTTCTCTTTAATTAATTATATATTCCTTTTGCTTCCCTCTCTCTCTGCAAGTAGTTGGTATATATAAAGAAGAAGAAGATTACGATGATGACGATGATGATAAAGACTGAGGTGAGTGGACTTTTTGGACATGGTTGGGGGTTGGAGCTTGACTGTTTAATGGCGTGGAGCGAGTTTCCTGGCAAAGATGGATGAAAGAAAACGCGCCAACGACTACGCGGGCCGAGCGTTCTCCGATTGACTGCAAATTTGCCCCTCCCAATTCTCAATCAACACTCAAAGAAAAAAAAAATGCTTATATGAATTAAATTGATTCAATCTAGTTTCGAAAATTTAACATCAAATTATATAATTTTGTGTACAAAGAACTTAATTTATACTCAAGCCTATATTATTCGTAACAAGTTTTAAACTTCTACTATGACGTTGGAAGCAAGTTAACCAATGTCCTAGTCTTCTAGAGGTGTATAAAAAAATGTATCAATGTTATTTTCTTATATTTTAAGACTAAAAAGTGTCTTTAAAAAGAAAACGTGACATTTTTTTTAACATTTAATACAATCTAGCATAGACTCCTTATTTAAAAGTAAGATGTGATATTAAGTCAGGGTAAATATTCACTTGATCGTCAACTCTTAAACTAATTTTTGTGGTGAAATTAGGATATCAATGTGAATACATATATGTCCTTTATGCTCTCATCTGAAAATCTAGTGTGCAATAGGAAAGAACTATATAGAAGGACAAGTTTATCTAATGTTTTCAAAAAATATTGAGAGAATTTGTCAACTCGAGTTTTAAGAAGTTTAATTTGAAAACTGAGGCTAAAATTATTATAATCTAAAGTTATTTTTTTTTTGGATTGGTGATAGACTATAATAAGCAATTAAATGTTGAATGTGTGTGATGTATAAACTATAAAGTACATTAATTGGTGAATGGTGAGTCCAGGTTGGTGAAGTATCATAATTGCCCGCAGCCGGCAGCGCGCTAGGACAGACACGACTCACACGAGGGTGGAGTACTAATATTTTAATAAAAATGTTATTGTATTCTCAAAGTGTACAACTCCTACACATGCATAGAGAAAAAAAAAGTAAATTATTTTTCACTAAAAAATATTATACTTAAAATTGAGTTAATTATATTTTTTGTCCTAGATTTATAGGTAAAAATTCACTTTTAATCATACTTTTTTCTTAAAATATTCACTTTTGATTATAGTATTATTGTGGCGTGACTGTTTTTTGTCTTTCATCAACAAAATAATTTAAATTTCGTCAAATACAATAGCATTTCAGTCTTCAATTTTGTTTAAAAAAACACATAAAAAGTATAGCGGACCACCTACTTTGTATATATATATATAAAAAATCGAAATATCATTGTATTTAACGAAATTTCAATAATTTTTTTGAAGGAGGACCAAAAATGGTCATGCCACAATAATACTATGACTAAATAAGAATGTTTTGAGAAAAATGAACTATAAGTAAACTATTACCTATAAATTATGACAAAAATGAAATTAACTCATTTAAAATTTATCCAAAGTGAAATCGCTTCACGTAAAGAATTTCGATGGTACCATATTGTGATACCATATTATATATTCACCTTATTTTTTACGAAAATATAAAATATAAGTATAATCATCAAAATTGACCTCTACCAAAAAAAAAGAATCATCAAAATTGATGTTAGGGAAGTCTAGACATGTCAAATACGGAGTAGTTGAAAACCAATCCTTGGAAATTGGAATGGATCAACGCGATAGAATATTTCACTCTTTTTTTTTTTTTTTTTTGTTTTTTTTAACAGATGTTTGAAAATTATATAGGTTTATTCATTTATCATGTTTGAATATTTTATTCTTTCTTTTAACACTCACAGTGCACCAATTCAATACTTGGAAGAGAATGTATCCATTTTTCAACAAAAATGTATTGAATTACTAATTTGACTATAGAATTCGTTAGGAGTGGGAGCTCCTCATATTTATTTATTTATTTTTTCAAGATGGCGAGGGCTCCCCATCTTTAAAAAATCTTTTGTGAAAGCGTGATGAAAACAAAAAAAATTATTATTCCTCAACGAGAATAGATAGCAAGGTGGGGTCACGAGCATGGAGGCCTATCCATACTCCGCTCTGTTATCATTCCTAAATATACTTATTAATTATATATTAAAAATATTTGTTTATTTGTAATTATTATAATCATAATCATAATAATATTATAATGGTGATTAAAAAAAGTTTTCCTCTTTATAGTTATGATGAGCTGGGAAGATGATGGCTGACCCGTGAGCTGAGTCAAAAGTGAAAAACCATTAATTTCCAAAGCAAGTTTGAAAATGGTATTGGAAATTAATTAAAAATAAAAATAATCAAACCGACGTTCATAATCTAGGGCTTTTCCAAGTCCAAATAAGTATGCTGTACGCAACAAAAGCGTTTTTGTGAACCTATCTGGAGCTTAACTAACCCAATTTTCAACAGAAAATTTTGGGATAAAATTGGTTGAATGAGATTTTTTATTATTTTTATATCTTAATCAATAATTGTTTAAATTTTTGCATATTTATTTTATCAAATATAATTTGTAGTATTATTCTTTTCAAAATGCTACATTTATTCATAACATTACACTACATGTACATGTTAAATATATTCAATTTGTATTATGTTCATAATATTTGTTTTATATGATTATAAATCTAGGCTGATAATTGGCTGTTAACCGATTGATTATATTAATTATAAATATAGTGTACTAACATTTATAATTATATTTGTCTAAGATAAAAGTATATATTAGAGTTTCCATAATCACGAAATTTGCAGGGAAGAATGCACAAATGATAGTTGAATTCAGAAATTTTATTTCTCTGAAAAAACTGGCTAAATTAAAGTTCTGAGCCTATCAGGGAAAGCAAAAGCTTCTGGTTTTATACAACTGAAACAAACCCCCCAGGAAAAAAAAATCCTACCAACTCCCAATTAACTCCATTGTTCCACACCTCAAGCTTCTGCAAACCTGCATGAACAAACATCAACAGATGAGACCAAGATCGAGGAATTGATTGTCGGATTGCCTCCCAAAGTAATGATGAATGTCCTTACCCAAGTTCAGACAGCTTCATATGAGACTCCGCGTAATCCGAAAAGAAAGCATCTTCATCCTAAAACGCATCCACATTAGTGGCTCTGATACCAAATTGAAGCATGTGTTCCATCTCAACTAAAAGCATAAGCTAATAGTTGGATTGCACATTAATGGTTATATGCTCAACAGAAACAATACTAACCGCAGCATATTTGTCAACTAGTGGGCGGAAAACAGGATCACTGAGAAGAGCCTTGTCAGATGGCAATTGTAAAAGCCCTTCTTTTTCTCCACTTAGAAGCTCCCTGATAGCCACAAAAATGGCAGAATGAGGCAAAAAAGAGGCAAAATGGATAGTATATATATATATAACAAGTGAAACTGTGAAAGTAGTCTTCTCACGTGAAGTAAGAGTTGTCAAAGATTAGAGGGTTTCTGGTCCAAGGACCCTCAAATCCAGAACGCTCCTTGTGACACCTTCCCTATAGTAAGTCCCAAGAAATGTAACATTCACCCATCTATAAATAGGAAAAACTTGAACAAAAATGGCAAATTAAACTAGTCACAGCAATATATATACCAGAGTATGACCACCAGAAAGGGCAACAATATCCTTGTCAGAAAGCCCCATCTGTTTGACAAACACATCTCTAAGGTGGTCATTGCCTACATTAATGTTTTTGACAATGATGGTCAGATGAAACCTTATAGTTATGAATGATAAATAGCCAACAAAACAGGCCGGCCGCATACTAACCTTTATTTGCATTAGGCAAACGTCCCTCGAGTGGTGGCTCTGGGTTATCCTAAGATAACAAAACAATGATAAAAACCATTAGTATTTGAGTGGACTAAGTTCATGAAAATCTGGAAACTAATGATCCCTTAACAAACCTGTCTTCCTGGGTGGAATGGAACTTCAGGTCCACCAGTAATTTCAACAGCAACAACCCCAGCCAACTACAGGTGCAAAAAACTCATCAATATAATCAACTAATATATATATAACCCTGAAATTAAAAAAGCTATAGTACCTGATAAAGATCAGCATGGGAGATAATAGGGAATTGCTCCTTGAAGGGCTCCAGCAGCTTAACAGCAATGTCAAGACCAGTGTTTGCACCATGGCCTTGCTCAGCCTTCAATCTCATGGTACCATATGGACCTCCAGATTTCGTTTGCACGTCGAACGTACCAGCAGAGTGCCATCTGCAACAACACAACCATGTCTATCATGATCTAGAAATAGGCGGGGCAACCCCGCCAGTCAATTGGTCAGGCAAGGCAACCCCACTAGCCAGTTAGTCAGGCAGGGCAACCCCGCCAGCCAGTTGGTCAGGCAGGGCAACCCCGCCAGCCAGTTGTGCTGGAGTGACCTATTGACCTTTTTGATCTGAGCCAAAACTGGTTAAGAATTATACTTACGCGATGCGAAGCATGAGGGGAGCACAACCCTTCTCAGCAATGAAGCCTCTAAGCTTTCTTCTACATTTTTCAATTGCCTTCAAGTACTCAGCACTCACAGTGGGATAGCTCTTCCCCATTGCAACACTTCTGCAACTCAGAGAGGTACTATTATTACACAGTAAACACAGAAGAATCATACACAATACAATGCAAACATTCATAATTTCATATACATTTAGCTTTGTCAAATTTTACTAACCTATTACCAGAAATAAATCAAAATATGATCGATGATCAGATTGGAATGCAAATCAAATGACACTACTGCACAGTCATGACACTCCAAGGATTTTAAAGAAGGGAGGAAGTTCTTGAAAAATTCAATCTGAGCCGTTAAAAAAATTGGATGGTGATAAGATGCTATGAACTGGTCTAGCTGTGGATATACAGAGATCTCTGGCTCCATGATTAACGTAATTAAGTTGGGATTGTTTTGTTTTAATTTTTATGCTAAATCTTCTAACTGCTGATCAAACTACTGAGAAAGTCCAATTATTAGATTTAATCTTTAATTCTTTATTTAATTTTCTATTTAAACTTACCTTTTTACCCCTCAAAAGTATCAGTTTGTTATCTTTGAAGTCCAGTTGGGTACATGTTATTTTGTTGTAGTAAGCAGGTGGATGCATGTATTAATGGGTCAATTGGCATCATTTATATTCAAAAGATTTAAAATTAATTACATTACAATATATAAAATGAGGGTTATATTGAGCCGTGTAAATAAGATTTATGTTTTTTATATAATATTTTTATTTATTCTCACAAATTCTAGTGGTGATTCAAAAATAATGTATTAGTATTATTATTCGGACACACACAAAATATATTGCCTTATTAATGAATTGCACCAATAAGATTTGCTTGATACAAAGTATTTGGCTTTGTAAAATATTTTAAGAGTTGGGTAGTACTCACAAGTCACAATGGCTTATAATATTCTTAAAAAAAATCTCTTAAAGATGTTTTTTCTCGATAAATTTTTTTATAATTGATAAAATATAAAATACACACTTTGATATAAACTTATTGATCAATGATATAACAATTTATTAGAATAATATTAATTTTAAAAAGTAACATTTTATTTTATAGGTTGTTAATGTTCCTCTACAATTTATATTTTATATTAAATTATGCAACATTTGAGGTCTTTTTTCAAGTTCACTTATAGGTGGGGTAACTATACAACCAAACACATTCCTCAAATGTGTTCGACCCTTAAAAAAAAAAAAAAAAACAATAAACGCATACCGAAATGCATTTGACCTATTTCTCAAATAAGAAATATAATTTTTTTTTCTCAAAAGAAAATCACATTTGATATATGCGGTTGATGTAAAATTAAATTTGAAAAATATCAAGCATGTCGTGGAATTTTTTATTTTTTATTTTTCATTTTGTTCAATTTTCAAAAGCAACATGTTTTTTTTTTTTTTTTTTTTTAGCCACTTGCTTTTCATCATATTTCAGTAGGAAAAAAAAAAAAAAAAAAACCTTTAAGAAAAAATTGTAATTTACTCCTCATAAATATATCAATTATCAATGTCACCCTTAAATTATTAATGGTGTAAATGTTGCATGCCTATCAATTTTCAAAATGTGATATATATTGTCCCTACCTTGAGTGCAATAAATTCCTCCTTAGGAGAGTTTTCAAATATCACATGGAATAATTTCTATAATATAATTATATCAACCAATTTTTATGAAGTATGATGTAACATGTAATGAAAAACAAAATCAGAAGGTAGAAGAAATACACTAGAGCTGATATAAAACATAAAAACATCGGAATGGAGATCTGTTACAAATTTAATTACTAAAGCAAAAAGAAAGCAAATTCCATGTCTATGGAATCACTACTGTCTACTGCTTTTTACCTTTTTTTTTTTCTTTAAAATTTTCCCTCATGTGTCTGGTCATTTTTCCAAACCTTATTAATAATTTTAAATTCCTGTATTTGCGTGCTGTTAGTATTTTATTAAAAGGTAATTATTCTCTTTTCTCTGTGGAAGATAGGAATCTGCAGCAAGCTAAGGGTTGATGAAAGTATGATTAATGGAGGTTATATGAACTAACTTTGTTAGGATTAAGAGCTTACCATTTAAGGTATAGGTCAAAGGTTTTATTTTATTTTATTTCTTTATATAAGCTATATTTTTTAGAAGTAGAATGCTGGACTTGACTCTCATTTTTCTCTGTTCAACAATCTACTAATCAGTAATTACTGAACTTGATCATTCACCCGCCTCTGTCCAACAGAAACATATATATGAAGTTATGAAGGACAAATTAAAACTCCAATTCTAGCCATTAAAGAAATTAAAGCTAGCTAACAAAATGGCAAGTAGCAGAGAAGAAAGCGCCACCTTGTCGGCGGCCTACAGAGCGGCAACCTCGTCATCAGAGGCTCTGCCGCCGCATGATATGGAAACCCTTCGCCGTTTTTGGAGGGAGGCAAGAAACAGGCCGGTGGATATACGAGGAAACACCATCCTCCATTTCCTCGCCGTCTATGGAAAAGTGGCGGCGCTTGGAGCGTTGATTCAAGAATCTCTGGTTAGCATCGAAGAGCTTGGGATCAAGAACGACGACGGGGACACGCCGTTGCATAAGGCGGCGAGGTTTGGGCAAAAGGAGGCGGCGAATATCATGTTGTCAGCGGACATGAATCTTGCGTGGGCTGCAAACATCTTAGGAGAAACTCCTCTCTATGTTTCGGCGGCTGCCGGAGAAGAAGAAGTGTTCTCCATGCTAGCAAGATATGATACGAGCCAGTCCACTTTGAAGAGAAACGATGGTTGCACGATTCTCCATGCAGCCGTAATGCATGAACGTTATGGTAACAATTATTCCGTTAGTAGTTTTCAAATCAGAATATATTTGTGTGGGTGGATTCACAGATCAGAGATGATCTTAAACAGATGTGGCAATGAAGATACTGAGTTTGTTTCCTCATCTTGCTCGTATGCCAAATGGAAGTGGCATGACTGCGCTGAATGTGTTGGCTACACAGCAGCATTCATTCAGGAGTGCATCTCCCTTCAGGTTCCAAGATCTGGGCACCATGCCACTCTTCTTTTGGCAGATTTTTGAAACCACAATCTATTGCCGTAAGTACTCTACTTTCATGCTACAGGATTCAGGGTCAAACACTGAAATAATAGGCAAAAAGTAAAGAAATTTAACAAAAATAAGAAGCTTTTGGAAGTTGGATAAAAATAGGCAAAGATCATTTGCGAAATGCGTTTATTGTCCCTCGTAGTTTATACGTGGGTCTGACAACAAACGCATTTTGTAAACGATCTTTGCCTATTTTGTCCAATTTTCAAAAGCTTCTTATTTTTTTCAAAATTCTTTATTTTTTGCTTATTGTAGTCTTTAAACTCAATGTGAGAGTTATATTTATAGGCACCAAGCATTAATCCCTTACCAAATGGGCCTTTGAGTTATAATGATTTACTCCTCCGGTATCCTATGGGATCAAGATGTGGGGCTACGAGGGCAACGGAGTTTTGCATTTGTGGGCAAGTACTTTACTTTCGTGCCCTGACAACAACAATATATACATTCAAATATGTGAAATGATATTCAGTTTCATTTTATATATACTGTAGTTTCATTTCACCACAACTACAGTATCATTTTGATATAACTGTAGTTTCATTTGATCGATAATATAAAAATAATACGTGAGCCTGTGTCGGTTTAGACATACTGTAGTGTCTGACACGCGGTGCATAGTCGATTATGCACCGCGGTGCACGATATAACGACCCGGCTTTGGCAGTTTGGCTTTTGAAATAAATAAAATATAAAAATTAGAAAATTAATTTTTTTTTAAAATTTTCGATTTTGGAACCGGAACCGTTCGGTTCCGTTGGTTCCAGTATTTTGAGAATCTTAATCGGAATCAGAACCGTACGATCAGTTCCAGTTCCCGTTTAGTTTGTACAGTGCACGGTTCGATTCAAACCGAACCGTCAATCGTTATGCTGTGCATCCGTATGCACCATACATGGTGCATACGGATGCCAAAACGACGTCGTTTTATTAAAAAACGCGCGTCTCCCCTTTTAAAAAAATTCAGGTTCGATTCCCAGCAACAACATTATATTGTTCATTCATTCTGAAATTTTAGTTCATAGATTATGGAATTATAGTTCATTGATTATGGAATTATAGTTCATCGATTATGGAATTGTAGTTCATCGATTCTGAAATTTTAGTTTATAGATTATGAAATTTTAGTTCATTCATTCTGGAATTTTTAGTTCATAGATTAGATTATGGAATTATAGTTCATCGATTATGGAATTATAGTTCATCGATTATGGAATTTTAGTTCATACGGATGCACAGCATAATTTGCCCCGAACCGTGGTCATACCTATTGGTGAGTTCCTTGGGCCACTGGGGTCGGGATGGGAGCCCGGAGGGCGAGGAAATTTTGCATTCGAGGGCAAGTAAGTACTTTACTCTCATACCCTGAAAGCAGCAATGTGACAATTAGACTCAATGCAGTGACCTCATGGTGTTATTAGGCACTGATCCTCCCATGTAATGAGTCTCTGAATCACAAGTAATTTATTCATCCAATATCCTGTGTGGGCGTGCAGGGGAGGAAATTTAACATTTGTGGACAAACAAGTACTTTACTTTCATCCATTTACCAAAAACAAGAAAACTATACCACTCCTACAATCAATTTTTGTGGGATTTTCAAACAGGTATACCGGCGCTATTTGAAGTAACAAAACAGCACGGCTCAACTGTCTTCACCAGAAGAAAAAGATCACCATTCATCAATTGCATTTTAAGTGCGACATCTCTCTGTACTGTATTCTCTTTATAAACTACGTACCCATCCTTGTATCAGAACAAGCTAAGGTTTCTATAATTTAATTTATTGTATGTTTTTCATTAATTATTGTGTAGGAAATGGTTGGCTAGCATCCATTGATGATGCGAAGCAGAGGCACATACTTGCAGTAATGGTGGCAAGAAGATTGATAGAACTAGACGAGTGGAAGTACTACCAGTTGCGAGAATTGCAGAATCCATTAGTGCAAGCTACCAAGCATGGGATAACTGAGTTGGTGAAAGAAATAGTGCAGACCCATCCAGAAGCTGCAGAAACATGGGATGAAAATGGAGGCAACATTGTGCATATAGCAGCAGTGGTTAAGAACCGGTTTCTTTATGATTACTTGATGGATAACGTTGTGAATAAGGATAGTATGCTGTCTGATATTGATTTACAAGGAAACACCGTTATGCATTATGCAGCAAAGCGAGGCGGCCATAAAACTTTCCCCCATGGCCCTTTGAAGCAGATGTCGTGGGCTGTGCTCTGGTTTAAGGTAATTAATGCATGTTTATACACATTCACCATGTATTTTAGGGAAACTTGCCTGCCACTAACTGAAGATGTGCCCTTAAATCTTGCTTTGTAATCCTTTGACAAAGGAACATAAGGAAGTAAATCTGTGTTGGGCGGAGGCTAAAGGGACAATTCCAGCACCATATGGCTAAAAGATTGTTAGTCGAAGAGTCAACTCAAGCACCATGCCTTTTAAAAATGTGACAGTATAACGAAATATAGTCGTGCATTCACTACTAACTATTAACTTTTGATGTAATAATAGGTATAGACAGTATTTGGGGAAGAGAACAAGGTTTGAATTTCGGCCGCGGCAGTGTGTGAGGCCTAAAGTGGGCAGGTCCCCGACATTTGGCCCTATCTGCTGAGTCATTTAGTGACCATGATTTACATCCTCCTAAATGTTCTGTCCGGCTAGGGTGTGTGGCCCTTGTGGTTGGAAATTTAACTTTTTGGGAGAAGTTTTTATTATAATAGTAAGATTTTGATCCTAACAAGTTGTATCAGGAATTTGTGGGCAAAGGCTAAAGGGCTAGCTTTTAACATAGTAGTAAACATTTGATCCTAACAAGCTGCTTAATTAGGTTATGTCTAACTTGTAACTTTACCGTTATAAAGTCAACCGCCTAACCAACTTGGCTGGAATTAGGTTATGTCTAATTGCAGTACATGTTTTTATATTACATTGACAGTCTTCGATTCGTTGTGCTAATGTTACGTTGTTGGAATCCAACAGCGGGTACAACATTGTACACATCCAAGTTTATGGAACTTGAAAAACAGCGACGGCAAGACAGCAACCGAGGTGTTTGAGGAAGAACATTATACACTCCAAAACGATGCAGAGACAACCATAAGAGACCTGGCAAACTACGGTTTAGTATTGGCTATCCTCCTGGCCACCATAGATTTTGCAGCGGTTTTCACAGTCCCAGGAGGTTTTGATCAGGATAACGGCCTGCCAATCTTTCTCAAGAAACATCGCCTCCAATTATGGCGGCTACTATTCTTCCTGGGCGCCGCTCTCTTCGCCTCCGTCTTCAACATCGCCGGTCTGCTCGGAATCCTTAACACCAAATTTGATTTCAACGATTTTTACATTGGATTGCCCCTCAAATACATCGTGGTTCTTCTGGGCATGTTCTTCGCCTCCCTGTTCACCATCTTGGCTTGCTGCCAAGCCCTTTTCTTGGAGAAGATAGCCGATGATAATGGCACATGGTACGTCATCCTAGGTGTCACTGTCGTTGTCGTAACAAGTTTTTTTGGTCACGTTGAAGTGTCTGGTCCATTTTATTCCCATGGAAGTTATGTACTTCGCTATTTGTGGTCGTACAAATCACAGTTTACATAATGGGCCATTTTTGTGCCAGTCGTTGCAAGAGTTACCAGCTGCCATTTTTGAGTACCTTATTTTGCTTTTGACTTTTATTTATATTTGTAAGGAAAAAATTACATTTTTGTTCATTTATATATGTAGTACAGCCTTATATATGTGATTATCTTTAATTTTAGAGTAAATACCCAAAATGGTCCCTCGACTATAGCTAAATTCACAAATTGGTCTTCGACTTTCAATTTCAACCAATTAAGTTCTTAACTTTGCAATTTTGACACGATTTGGTCCTCCATCTATTTGACCGTTTGTTGACCGCGATCTTTGAGGATATATATGTAGTTTCACGTGCAAAGCTCAAGGGAACGCTCTTGGAGGTGACAACGTTGTTTCGGAGGGGGAAGTGCTTCTCCGCTTGCTGCTTGGGGATCACGAGCCGGTTCAGCTTAGAGAACGCTCTTGGAGGTGACAGCGCCGTTTCGGAGGGGGAAGTGCTTCTCCGCTTGCTGCTTGGGGATCCCGAGCCGGTTCAGCTTGCCTACATCGCTTGGAGTCACGGCTTTCTCGAAGAGCCACTCCAAGGACTTCGGCGATCTATCTATCAAAAGTTATAATCTCTCCGGCATGGGGTGCAGCGCCGGCAGTGGATTCAAATGTAACAGTGCGGTCTAGAAATGCAACCGGAACCTTAAAAAACCGACGATGAACCATAAAATTACATATATATCCTAAAAAAAAGTGCAGTCAACAAACGGTCAAATAGACAAAGGACTGAATTGTGTTAAAATTGCAAAGTTAAGGATTTAATTGGTTGAAATTAAAAATCGATGACCAATTTGTGAATTTAGCTATAGTCGATGGACCATTTTGAGTATTTACTCTTAATTTTAACCCCTGAATTATGTATGAAGTAGTGATTTTAGACACTCAGAAACTATTTTTGTAACTAATATATTACTTAATAAAGTTGTTGATTTCATCTTTCAAGAATTAAAATCGTTACTTTATATATAACTTGAGAGGTAAATATGATCACGCCTATAATTCATAAACTAAATTTGTATCATGACTGTAACTGTTTGACAAAAAATATAATTTTAATTTTCGTATTTGTAATTTTAAGTTAAACTTATCTCCTAAAGTGCTTTTTGTCGTTTCACCACATACATTGCCACATATTCATCATAGGCTTTACCATATCGGCTGTCGGCATCAACACGTGGTATGCTTGTCACATCATCTAACTATGTTCTGCCATTGGTGGAGAACAATCGCACAGATTCCTAGGAAGGAATCACGCAAAGGTATAATTAAGTATGAAAGAAGTGTGTTACTCATCTCTGGGACTTGTTTCTTTTAATGAAATTTGCGTTAATAAAGTGATGGTAATGACCAAGAAGGCAAGAATCCATGAAGGATGGTTAACAAACAAGGAATGCACACACTTTATAAGTACTATACAAAAGTGTAGACTACTTTTGAATTACAGATATTAGCTAGGTTGTCCAATTCAATAGGTACAAGTTAATTTAACTATGCTACTCCGTATTAAGTTAATAGTTTGGCCATATATACTAACTTCACTTTTGTTTAAAAATTATGTTTAATCATTAGTATATACTCTTAAGTATTGTGCGTAATAGTGAAGCAACCAAACTTGATCAAGCTTATGGCTGATGATTTAGCAATAAGAATTTGAGACTAATTGAATGATAATCCATCCAACCATTATATTAGAAATCATAATTTACATGGTAAAGTAAACCACTGATGCACATGTTTGTGTTTTAATATATTGCATGTTGATTTTTACAATACTGTAAATTCAATTTTTAATATATTACCACCTAAATGAATATGTAATATACCAAAAATAAATTTACAATATATTAAAAAGTAATTAATGAGTAAATTTTAATTTTGGTCTTGTGACTATAGGGGACCTGTTAATTGCAGTCCACGACTTTTAAAAGTTTTAATTTAGTACATTGATTATGTAATTTTTATCAATTTTGGTCCCTTCGGTCAAATTGCCTGTCAACTTTCGCCTGAAAATTTAGGAATAAGGTTCAAATTGACCACTGAACGTAATCAGAAAATGCAATTAGGCCACTGAACGAAAAAAAATACAATTAGGTCACTGAACACTCCAAATGTATGCAATTTCACCTGATAGCAGGTTACTATCCGTTTCAGCAGGCTACCTGCTTGCGTGACAGCTGAGTTGACATTTTTAATAATAATAAAAATTACATAGTTAAAGTATTAAATTAACACTTTTAAAAGTCGTGAACTGCAATTAATATGACCTCTATAGTCAGAGGACTAAAATTGAAATTTACTCTTAATTAATATTAGAGCCAGAGGTTCATAGTATAATTTCCACTTCATCTTATGATGCCATATTGGACTGGATTGAGCCTAAGGTGATATTTTGGCTAGATTAATGGCCTGATTGAGAAGAAATCAATTGTTATATCTTGGATTGTTATGCTGTGCAACTGCATGCATCATGCATGGTGCACACAGGTATAAATTCATAATTTTTATACTATAGATTTATAAACTCTATACTGTAGATTCATAATTTTTAAATAGTAGATTCATAATTTAAATACAGTAGATTCATAATTTCTATACTGCAGATTTATAGTATTTGCACTGTAGATTCATAATTTTTGTATTGTAGATTCATAATTTCTAAAATGTATAGTTATCAAATTATGAATATATATAGTTATGTGATTTGTGAATACAGAGTTCAACAATTGAGAATATGACCATTGAAAATTATGAACCTATAGCTCTATAGTTATGAACATATATTTATAAAATTATGAATCTACAGTATAGATTTTATGAATCTACAGTATAGAAATTACGAATCTGCAGTATAGAAATTATGAATCTAGACCCGTGTGCACCATGCATGGTGCACACGGTTGCATAGCACTAGAATGCACAATGCATTGTGCGCCCTAAAAATTTCCTGTTTCGTATGTACATAATTGTATAATAGAATACACATAAACTCTTAACATAATGCACATAATCTAACATATATAATACATAATACACATAAACTCTTAACATAATACACATAAACTCTTAACATAATACATATAAACTCTTAACGTAATACACATAAACTCTTAATATAATACACATAACTCGTAGGGCGCACAATGCATTGTGCACCCTGGTGCACAATATAATTTGCCAGAAGAAATAAGACTTTGGCATGACAAATTATGCTGTGGAACCATGTCCAGCTTGCAAGGTAGACGTGATTCCAAAATTGTTCATAATTTGAATATAGAGTTTAAAAATTATGAACATAGAGACCTATAATTATGAACATAGAGTTCTGCAATTGTGAATATAGAATTCAATAATTGTGAATATGAAGTTAAAAAATTATGAACATAGATATAATTATGAACATAGAGTTCAATAATTATAAACATAGAATTGTGTCCACCTTACAAGGTGGACACGGTTCCACGGCATAACAATCCACTTGGCATGCGGTGGGCTTATCCATAGCACATACAATAGTCCTAGTTTGTATGGAAGTGGCAAATTTTTATGTAGACCACGGTTCATACAGTGAAATCATTATACTGTGGACTGCGGTGCACGTGCATCGCAGTCAAAACGGCGCCGTTTTTTTAAGTAAAGAAACGGTGTGTCACTACTGTTAACGGAGTGCGCATTTTTTGGCGTGTTAATTATCAACTGAAACTATAGTGTATCTAAACTGACACTACAATGTATCTAAACCGACACTGCCTCATATATTATTTTTATATTATCAAATGAAACTGCAGTTATATCAAAATGATACTGTAGTTGTGGTGAAATTAAACTGCAGTGTATATAAAATGAAACTGAATAACATTTCACATATTTGAGTGTATATTGTGCAATGAAGCTGTAGTTATATCGAAATGATCATGTAATTGTGTTGTAATGAAACTATAGTGTATATAAAATAAAATTAAATAACATTTTCACATATTTGAGTGTATAAATATCGAATGAAACTATAGTTATATCGAAATGAAACTGTAGTTGTGTTGAACTGAAACTGTAATGTATACAAAATGATACTGAATAACATAATTACTTTTTGTAGAATGGCGCGAAACGAGTACCGTTTCTTTTCATTAAACAAAACGACGTCGTTTTGATGCTTGGTGCATAATCGATTATACACCGCGGTGCACGATATAATTTGCCTACAGTGATGTGTGGATCATATAAAAGTACATTTAGTATGCTAAAAGTATATTATTTGTGTACTAAATGTATATTATACAAAATAATATACTTTCAGTACTCAAATAATATACTTTCTATTGATACAATGTACATTTTTAATATATTAAAAGTACATTATTTGTATACTGAATATACATTATTTAATATTATATAAAATAATGTAATTTTAATAATCAAATAATAATATACTTTATATACACAAATAATATACTTTTGTTTGTGATCCACACAACTATCTAGACCATGGTCGATGCAATAACACCTCTATGAAAGAAGGCTAGATATTGACAAATAGTCCAATAAGTAGAAATATGAATATAGTATATATATTCATAGCAGAGATCCCAATAGCTATTTGTATATTTTCTAATGTTGTTTCGGGTTATAATAATATTATTATTATTATTATAATTATTAAACCAAGTAAATGGGAATGTGAATGTGGCAGCGTGAGGTGTATAATAGAACGTGGGATTACAACATGGAAGTACGTGGAGTACGTGAAGCATTAAATACTATAAATATGTTTGTTACAAAGCATTTTTTTAATATATCTTACACTAAAGTATGTCAGTTACATAGGATAACAAGAATAAACTATTACGCATAGCTGGCTTGAATCAAATGGAATTAGGCAAATTACTAAAATATTGGCAAAACAAAAAACAAAAAACAAAAAACAAAATAAAATTGACATAACTTACAAATTAAATTAATACTTTTACCCGTAAAAATTTGATGAGAAATTTTAATAAATAAGATTCTTTCACGTGTCTATGATGAGCTTTGACAAATTATTAAAATAATATATTGATAAAATTGATGAGGAAATTTTAGTCAATAAGATTCCTTCATGTGTCTATGATAAAATTTTAATCATAGCTGACTTGAATGAAATAGAATTAGGCAAATTACTAAAATATTAACAAAAAAAAAAAAAACAAAAAAAACAAAAAACAAAAAAAAAAAAAAAAAAAAAAAACGGACATAACTTAAAAATTAAATTAATACTTCTACCCGTAAAATGCATTTGACCTATTTCTCAAATAAGAAATAGAATTTTTTTCCTCAAAATAATTCACATTTCGTATATGCGTTTGATGTAAAATTAAATTCGAAAATATCAAGCATGTCGTGAAAATAATTTCTTTTTCATTTTGTTCAATTTTCAAAAGCAACATTTTTTGTTTGTTTGTTTAGCCAATTGCTTTTCATCATATTTCAGTGAAAAAAAAAAAAAAAAAAAAAACCCTTAATCTCTCTTGGGGACAATTTTTCTTGAATTCTTGAAGGTCAGAAAGAATACTAACTTTGAATAAATTATCAAAGATAAAGGAATTCACTCTGATTTTGTAAGTTTTTGTTGATTTTTTTTTAATTATGTAATGATGTTTGTGGTCATATTTGAATTTTCAAAGAGTTACAATACTTATATATCAATATTTATCATTTCCATGATATTTTTTATAATTTAGTTTTGCATTTGTTGAAAAAATTAAAATTACTTTAAAATCGAATATATAAGAATTTAAATAATAAATAGTATATGATAGTAAATATATACATAATAAAAATATGTATATACAAAATACATATATATACATAAATATGTAAGAAGTTGTTACGCTGTGTACAAGTGAAAACTATAGCGAAGGGCAAACATATGAACTTATTTAATAGTTTAATTTGGACCTTCATTGTTTTTGTTCTGAGGTGCAATATAAATATAATAAAGTAAAACTCAATTTAAATAATCCGTATAATAGAGTAAAATAAGAAAGACAAAAACAATAATAGAGAGATAAGAACATAGGGGTAGAATTTTTTTATGAACAACTTAGTTTATCTCAGATGTGAAGTTTGGAAACAATGACCCGAGATTAAGTCTTATCAACGATAGTGTGTGAGAAGGGCTCCTTGTGTATGTCTAGTAAGCATTAGTCGAATATATGTGTTCAACTGAGTTACCATAATTTATATCATCCTAGATGCTCTATCGGATCGGGACGTGAGACTCTTAAGATTGAAAATTTAACTTTTTGAGAATAATTTTTTCAAATCTTATTAATTTTAAATTCTTGTATTTGCGTGCTGTTAACAATTTTTACAAATATTTTCAAAAAAAAAAAAAAAAAACAATTTTTACAAATCATAGTAATCTTAAATTCCTGTATTTGCGTGCTGTTCGAATCAATTGTCTTACAAGACCTGAGATCCCGATCCCAAAACCCCAACACCCCGACATAGCATAATCTTAGTAATTTTTAAATTCCTATATTCGCGTGATGTTGACAATTTTTCCAAATCCGGCCGAGTCATTTTAAATTCTTGTATTTGCGTGCTGTTGCCAATCAATTGTCTTACAAGACCCAAAAGTTGAGATCGAGATATATTCATATTTTTCTTTGTGCTCCTAAAAGTTGAATCCATAATTCTAAAGGTTCTCGCATTTCAACCCGAAGGAGTATTTTAAAAGATATAAATTCTTAATGACTCAGCAGACAAGACTAAATATTGTCTCGAATTTTAATCTCTTCTCTCAAATATTGTCTACTGTCTATTCAACCTTTACATGCGGTTTGGTTGGAAAAAAAAAATTAGGGAGAAAAATGAATTGTAATACGGTGGGAAAATAATAAGATGGGAATAAAGTAGGAATTCAAATTACAATGTTTGATATGCATGAATAGAATTATAAGGAATTGAAAGGGAATGAGTGGTACAATGACCGAAATGCCCTTATGTACAGCTAATGCCATTCTACACAATTCAACGTTGCGTGTTGTCTTGCCGAAGAGAACAGATGACAGGGCTAAAAATGTCTTTACCGTCTCCAATTCAAAATTGAATTACAATTCACAAGGAGAGTCTGGAATTGTAATTCAGCAAAGGGACGGAATTGCGACAACTCCCTTCAACCAAACAACGTAATTTAGGACTTCAACGAATTTCAATTCAATTACAACCTAACGAAAAATTACATTCAACCTATCAACCTGTTAATGTGTTGTTGACACTGATTATAGAATGTTAGGTTTGAGTATTTTATTATAAGGTAATTCATCTCTCTTTTCTCTGTGGAATATAGAATCAGCAAGCTAAGGGTTGATGAAAATATGATTTGGGGAGGTTATATATATGAAGCTGTGTTAGGATTAAGCACTTGTTACCACCTAACATATATATAGATCACAGACTTAACTTTATATTTTTATATATATACACACCGACCATATTTTCGAAGCAATATTATATATATATATATGAAGTTAGGAAGGACAAAACTCGATCCAATTATATTCTAGCGGCCATTAAAGAAATTAAAGCTAGCTAAGAACAAAATGGCAAGTAACAGAGAAGAAAGCGCCACCTTGTTGTCGGCGGCCTACAGAGCGGCAACCTCGTCATCAAAGGCTCTGCCGCCGCATGATATGGAAACCCTTGGCCGTTTTTGGAAGGAGGCAAGAAACAGGCCGGTGGATATACGAGGAAACACCATCCTCCATTTCCTTGCGGTCTATGGAAACGTGGGTGCGCTTAGAGCGTTGATTCAAGAATGTGTGGTTAGCATCGAAGAGCTTGGGATGATGAACAACGATGGGGACACGCCGTTGCATAAGGCGGCGAGGTTTGGGCAAAAGGAGGCGGTGCATATCATGTTATCTGCGGACATGAATCTTGCCTGTGCTGCAAACATCTTAGGAGAAACTCCTCTTTATGTTTCGGCGGCTGCCGGTGAAGAACAAGTGTTTTCCATATTGCTATCAGCAACAGTAGCAACATATGATCCGGAGCACTCCACTTTGAAGAGAGAGGATGGTTGTACGATTCTCCATGCAGCCGTAATGAATGAACATTATGGTAACAATTATTATTCCGTTTTCGAATTGGCATTTCTCACTGTTGAAAATTATAGAATTTCGACCACCTGAAAGTGGGCTTAAATCAAGTCAAAAGCCTTGTTCCAACCACTTTTGGTATCCGAAAAAACTTTTAATTTGTTGCTATTTCCGACCAGTTTTTGCTTTTGACTTATTTAAGATCACTTTCAGGGGTAAGAAATTCCATAATTTTCAGTAGTGGGTATTGGTGGATTCACAGAGGTGATCGATGTATCATGTATGTGTAAATGCATGTTTTGTTAAACGTACAGATCTGGCAATGGAGATACTGAGCAAGTTTCCTAAGCTTGCTTGTAAGCCAAATGGAAGGGGCATGACTGCCCTCAATGTGTTGGCTACGCATCACCATTCATTCAGGAGTGCATCTCCCTTCAGCTTCCAAGTTCTGGGCACCATGCCACTCTTCTTTTGGCAGCTTTTTGAAACCATAATCTATTGCTGTAAGTACTTTACTTTTATGCTGAGAGTTACATCTAATGTAACAATTAGATCCAATGCGGTGACCTCCTAGTAGTGTTACTAGGTACCAATCCTCAGGGAAAAAGACTGAAATGTGAAGGTAGAGACATGTATTTTTTAAAATGTGAATATTCATTTTTGTAGTAAAAAACATGAAAAATAAGTTTGGGACATGTATTTGATGTCAGAAGTAGTCAAATCACAAATGCAAGTCCCACTTGCATTTGTGTATTTATTTTTTTTTTTTAATTTGGTAACTTCGCCGACGACACCCTTCTCCAGCGAAGGAGAAGGCAATCGCGGGAGAAACCGGCGACCAAAAGGAGAAGGCAACCAGTGGCGGTGGCCTTCTCCTTCGCTGGAGAAGTGGACGACCAAATCGAGAAGGGCCACTAGCTGCCTTCTCCTTCGCTGGAGAAGCTAGCGATTTAGTGGCCGGTTTCTCCAGTGAAGGAGAAGGAAATGCCTTCTCCTTCGCTGGAGAAGGGAGTTGCCGGGGACCAAATTTAAAAAAAAAAAAAAAAAAAAAAAAAAAAAAAAAAAAAAAAAAAAAAAAAACTTAAGTGAGACGTGCGTTTGTGGTTTGACCTCTGCTCAAATGCATGTCCCAAACTTTTTTTCATTTTTTTGTCCACAAAAATGGACAGTCACATTTTGAGAAATACATGACTCTTATCTTCACATTTAAGTCTTTTTCTCCCAATCAACACATATAGTGAGTCTGAATCACAAGTAATTTACTCATCTAATATCGTTGCAGTGTGCGTGTGGAAGTGAAGAAATTTAACATTTGTAGGCAAATAAGTACTTTACTTTCTTCCATTTGCCAAAAACAAGAAAATTATACTACTCCTAAAATCAGTTTTTGTGGGATTATCAAACAGGTATACCGGCGCTATTTCAAGTAACAAAACAGCATGGTTCAACTGTCTTCATCAAAAGAAAAAGATCACCATTCATCAATTGCATTTTAAGTGCGACATCTCATAAACTACATACCCATCCTTGTATCAGAACAAGGTTTCTTTAATATAATTTATTATTTGTGTTTCATTCTGTATCGTAGGAAATGGTTGGCTAGCAGCCATTGACGATGCGAAGCAGAAGCACATACTTGCAGTAATGGTGGCAAGAGAATTGATAGAACAAGACGAGTGGAAGTTCGACCACTTGCGAAATTTGCAGAATGCATTACTGGAAGCTACCAAGCATGGGATAACTGAGTTGGTGAAAGAAATAGTGCACACCCATCCAGAAGCTGCAGAAACATGGGATGAAAAGGGATGCAACATTGTGCATATAGCAGCAATGGTTAAGAACCGGTTTCTTTATGAATACTTGATGAAAAACGTTGTGAATAAGGATAGTATGCTGTCTGATATTGATTTACAAGGAAACACCGTTATGCATCATGCAGCAAAGCTAGGAGGCGAAAAAACTTTTCCCCATGGCCCTTTGAAGCAGATGTCATGGGCTATGCTCTGGTTTAAGGTAACTAACTTGGCTAAATTGCACATACTACATGTTTTTATATTACATTGACAGTCTTCGATTCGTTCTGCTAATGTTGTTGGAATCCAACAGCGGGTACAAAATTGTACACATCCAAGTTTATGGAACTGGAAAAACAACGATGGCGAGACAGCAACCGAGGTGTTCGAGAAACAACATGTTGAACTCAAAGACAATGCAGAGAAAACCATAAGAGACCTGGCAAACTACGCTTTAGTATTGGCTACCCTCATGGCCACCATCGATTTCGCAGCGGTTTTCACAGTCCCAGGAGGTTTTAATCAGGATAACGGCCTACCAATCTTTTTCAAGAATCATCCCCTCCAATTATGGCGGCTACTATTTTTCCTCGGCGCCGCTCTCTTCGCCTCCGTCTTCAACATAGCCGCTCTGCAAGTAATACTTAACACCAAATTTGATTTCAACGATTTTTACATTGGCTTGCCCCTCAAATACGTCGTTGTTCTTGTCGGCATGTTCTTCGCCACCGTGTTTACCATCTTGGCTTGCGGCCAAGCCTTTTTCTTGAACAAGATAGCCGATGACAATGGCACATGGTACGTCATCCTAGTAGTCACTGTCTCTATCCTAACAAGCTTTATTGCTCATGTTGAAGCGGCTGGTCCATTTTATTCTCATGGAAGTTATATACTTCGCTATTTGTTTTCGTACAAATCACAGTTTACATAATGGCTGGGCAACTCTCCACATTATGTGTTTGTTCATTCAGTTATTTCTGTATTTTTGTTCATTCAGTTGTTTCTGTACTATAGATTTAGTTCCTAGAGTTACCTATGGAGTGGTGATTTTAATAACTTAGGGGACTATTTTTGTCACTAATAAGTTATTTAATGAAGTTGTTGATTTCGCATTTTAAGGGCTAAAATCGTTACTTTGTGCTTGACTTTGGAATTAAAGGTGATCATATCTATAATTCATAAACTAAGTTTGTAGTATGGATATAAAGATGACCAGGTCTATAAATCTATAATTCATAAACTAAGTTTGTAGTATAGATATAACTCCAAGAGAAAAAATGTAATTTTAATTTTTGTATTTGTAACTTTAAAATTATCTCCTAAAGTGCTTTTTGTGGTTTTGCCATCAACATGTGGTATGCTTGTCACATCATCTAAGTTTTTTTTTTTTTTTTTTTTTTTTTTTTTTTTTTTTTGGGGCCAACTCATTCGGTTTCGGACTAGTTATGTTGTATAATCGGGTTTATTGGTTCGAGCTAATGGATTATTTTATTTTTGAGTTTGGATTAGCCCTAACCTAAATTTCGAGTTATCCGGCGGGTTGAAACTAAACTAAAATTGGAAGCTAAGAGTGAGTACCTACATGACTACATTTAGAGCTAAAAAAAAATAAGCCCGATTCGCGAAGTTGAGCCCATTCAGCTCTTGCGTAGACAAGTTGGGTTGTATATTTTTCAAATTCGATCCGAACGGGCCATGGCAAATACAATAGTCAATAGTTATACCTTGGACCCAGGTCCACCTTGCAAGGTAGACCTAAGTTCAAAATACACAATTTAAATACTGAATGTTCACAATTTACATACTTGATGTTCACAATTTACCTTTTACAAAATTGTGAACATTTAATATGTAATATGCTCATTTGGATGAAGACACATAGTTTCAATAACATTATTCTTGAATCAGACTGTTTGAATTTTTGTTCAGCTTTTAACTCTTGTCGTTTGGATTTTTCATATGTTGGTTTGGTAGTAAAGCAATGTCATAAGATTGCTAGTGACATCGGGAACGTTTCAGTTCGCCATGTTAACAGGTCAGCGAATCATTTAGCTCATGTTCTAGCGCGTGCTTCTGATTCTATGTCTGCCCTTGGTTCGTGGTTTTCTACGCCACCCACTTGTATCTCGTCTTTGGTTGATCTTTAATATATCATCTCGTTTCTCTCTAAAAAAAAATATGTAAATTATGCATTTTAGACCCAGGTCCACAAAATAATTTGTCTATAACAGTCCTAGTTTAAATGGGAGAGGCAAATTTTTATGTGCCTCATAATCCACACAGGTTATGTGTGGATCACAAAAAATATATTTTTAATATATTAAAAGTACATTATTTGAGTATTGAAAGTACTTTCAGTTCTTAAATAACGTACTTTTCATTAATACAATATACATTTTTAATCTACTAACTAAAAGTATATTATTTGTATATTGAGTGTACATTATTTGATATTATGCAAAATAATGTAATTTCAGTATTCAAATAATGTATTTTATATACACAAATAATATACTTTTTATTTGTGATTCACACAATTGTGTAAACTATGGTCGATGCAATAACAACTTTACGGGAAAAGGTGGGATATATATTATTATTTCGGATCACATATTTTTTTATACTTAATACTCCCTCCGTCCCGAATTGGATGTCTCATTTACTTTTTGCACGCTTTTTAATGAATCAAAAGTAAATGTTATGCACTTTCCAATTATGCCCCTCACTTTTTCACTTTTGGAAATAAAAACAATAAAGAAAGCAAAAGCTAGAAGGGTAATTTGAAAAAAGTAGAATGATGGTGATGTTCAATTTTAGAAAGTGGACAACATTTTGGGACAAACTAAAAAGGAAAGTAAGACACATAAAATGGGACAGAGGGAGTATATTAATTAGTGTCTTAATTTAAATTATGGAAGTAATGGAACTAGAAAATCAATATTTATACATTTTTTAAAAACATTTTACAAGTCTATTTATATGTTTTTGTATTTATATATGTTCTACACATTTCATATCTTATATTTTTAAAATTATTTGTTTGTTTTCTTGCTAGTAAAGTAACGAGGTCGGCACTCAACAATTGAGCTGACGTACGCGTGATTACGTAAGGCAGATGAGTCACCTGTTTTATGTCATGATGTGGCCCACCTATCGTGGCTTAGATTCCTTTCATCATTTGTTTGAAAACTTCACCATATTCTCAAGTACCATATCCCATCCCATTAAATAGTTTTTTTTTTTTAAAGGAAATTAATTAGTTAATAATAATAATAATAATAATAATAATAATAATAATAATAATAATAATGTAAAATATCTTTTTTTTTTCTGGAGTTATATACCTATAATACTTTTCTCCCTTAAATTATTAAAGTGGTTGTTTTCCCCTGAACGGTTAAATAGACATATTTACCATTAAATAAATATTTCATTTATTTTTCTTCTCCAACAAATTATTACCACAATTTGGTTCAAACCAAACAGACACTATAGCAACCAAATTGAAATTTCCAATTACAATTTAGAATTGAAACCCGATATTTAGAATTTATTAAAGTCGCGAACCGGACGGCTGATTCATGTTCCAAACTGAAAAAATAAAATAAAATACATTTATTTTTAAATTTAGACTATTTTAAAATAAAGACCGTTCAAAATCGCGAACCGGATCCAAAATCGTCGGTTCACGGTTCAGGATTCAGTTTTTCGATTCATAATAATTTTAATAAGCTGAAATCGGGTTCTAGATCTGAATCATAACCGGAAACTTTTAATTCAA